CACAGAGTTGTTGAAGAAGAACAAATGTTGCACTTGGACGGAGGAGTGCCAACAAGCCTTTGAGGACTTGAAGGCGGCAGTCATGGAAGAACCAGTGTTGACACTTCCTAACTTCTCCAAAACCTTTTGAGGTACATACTGATGCCTCTAACTTTGCTATAGGAGGCGTCCTAATGCAAGAGAGGCATCCTATTGCCTTTGAAAGTCGCAAGCTAAATGATACCGAGAAGCGGTACACGGTCCAGGAAAAGGAGATGACGGCCATAGTCCATTGCTTGCGCACTTGGAGGCATTACTTGCTGGGGGCAAAGTTTATCATCAAGACGGACAATGTGGCTACTAGTTACTTCCAGACTCAGAAGAAGTTGACGCCAAAGCAAGCAAGATGGCAAGACTTCTTGGCTGAGTTTGACTATGTGTTGGAGTATAAGCCAGGAGCAGCTAATGTTGTTGCTGATGCTCTTAAGTAGAAAAGCAGAACTGGCAACCTTAACCCAAGTCGGTGGGAACTTGGTCGAAAAGGTTAAGGAAGGAATGGCCCAAGATCCCATAGCCCTACAGCTAATGGAACTAGCAAAAGAAGGGAAGACTAAGAGACTCTGGGTGGATTATGATATCCTTTACACTCTAGGAAGGCACATGTATGTCCCTAAATGGGCAAACCTAAGGAAGGAGCTGATCAAAGAGTGTCATGACTTTAAATGAGCAGGTCACCCAGGTCAGAGGCGAACTTTGGCTTTGTTAGAAGCAGCCTATTATTGGCCTCACATGAGGGAGGATGTGGAACTTTATGTGAAGACTTGTCTTGTATGCCAACAAGACAAGGTAGACAACCAATTGCCTGGAGGACTGCTCGAACCCTTACCTACACCGAGCCAACCATGGGAAAGTGTTTCCTTAGACTTCATCTCAGCATTACCTAAGTCAGAAGGATTTGGATCCATCATGGTGGTAGTAGATCGATTCTCCAAATATGCAACTTTCATAGCTACCCCGACAGACTGCACGGCTGAGGAAGCGGCTCGGATGTTTTTCAAAAATGTGGTAAAGTACTGGGGCCTTCCTAGAACTATCGTCAGTGACAGAGATCCAAGGTTCACAGGAAAGCTGTGGACAGAACTATTCAAACTATTGGGGACGGAGCTACACTTCTCAACTAGCTTTCATCCTCAAACAGATGGGCAAACTGAGAGGGTGAATGCTTTGCTTGAGTGCTATTTGCGGCACTTTGTTAGTGCCAATCAGAAGGATTGGACTAAGTTACTTGATATGGCTCAGTTCTCCTACAACCTACAGAGGAGTGAGACGACAGGAAAGAGCCCATTTGAGACTGTGATGGGGCAACAACCAATCACCCCACATGCCCTCGCAACCTCCTATAAAGGTAAGAGCCCTGGAGCTTTTAACATGGCTAAGTCCTGGCAAGAACGGGCGGATGAAACAAGATCATTCCTTGTAAAAGCTACTAAGAAGATGAAGAAGTTTGCTGACAAACGAAGGCGTGCAATAGAATTCCAAGTTGGGGACATGGTAATGGTGAAACTTCTCCCACAACAATTCAAAGCCTTCAGATCAGTGCACAAGGGCCTCATTCATAAATATGAAGGTCCTTATAAGGTAATCAAGAAGGTAGGGAAAGTCTCATATAAGTTAGATCTCCCTACTAATTTAAAGATTCATCCTGTCTTCCATGTTAGCATGTTGAAACCCTATCATGAAGATCAGGATGACCCGACGCGAGGAACATCATCACGTGCCCCACCGACCATCACTAAGGCATATGATCGAGGAGTTGAAGAGATACTTAGTCACCGAGTTGTGCGGAAAAGAGGTGTGCCACCAGACACACAATACTTGATCAAGTGGAAGGGATTGCCAGAGAGCGAAGCAACATGGGAATCTCAAAGAGATCTTTGGCAATTTGAAGAACTACTTCAATCTTATAGAGATGATGCCGTGACGAGGACGTCACTCGAATAGGTGGGGGAGAATGTGACAAAGATAGAATTTTCATGAGGTTAAGATATTCTAGAAGTTTTCGGAACGATCCAGGACAATCAAGAAGGCCCCGGAGTCTTCTGGAATGTGCCGGTATGACCTCGAAAGACCTAGATATCTCTAGAGTAGAAAGCACTTGAAACATCTAGATCATTCTAGGGATATCTTGCTCTTGTACATTCTAGCAGTCTCCTTGTAAATATCAAGATATTCCTTGTAGATATTTCTATGGAATTATCTAGAGATAGAATGTACACCGTTAGATCGAATCAATCCCAACCGTCCATTAAGGAGGTGGGAATTTTCTAGAGAAAGGGGGAGGCCTATAAATACCCCCTCACCCCTCATTTGTAACTCATTCAAGCATAGTGTAAAAGCTCTCAAAGTTCATTCACTCAAGCTCTCTACTCTCTACCTGTGCATCTAGCTCTCTTAGCCTCTTTGCCTACTTGTGGGATTCAGCTGACTTAGCAAAGATCAAGAGAGGGATCAAGCTAAGGCCGGCACGGTTCAAGGGAAGGGAGTTCCAAGGCCGTGACAATAAGCTTACTTCATCCTACCATCCTCAAAGTGATGGACAATCTAAGGTGTTGAATCGTTGCTTGGAAACATATCTTAGATGTATATGTTGGGAAACTCCTAAGGAATGGAGTAAGTGATTACACTTGGCAGAATGGCAGTACAATACAACTTTCCACACTTCAACCAAGGCAACACGCTACGAATTACTTTATGCACAAAAACCACCAATATATGCTCCATATCTACCTAAAGAAGCTGTGGTTGAAGCTGTAGACCGGAGTTTTGCAACAAGAGACCATATGATAAATGTTTTGAAGTATCATCTTAACAGAGCAATAAACCGAATGAAACAAAGTGCTGATTTAAAGAGGTCTTATCATGAATTTGAGGTTGGACAATGGGTTTTTCTCAAGTTGCAGCCTTATAGACAGATTTCAGCAGCCTCTAGGAGTACACAGAAGTTGGCACCAAGGTATTTTGGGCCATATAGAGTGGTGGAAAGGATAGGGAATGTTGCATACAAGTTAGAACTCCCTCCCACCTACAGAATTCACCCAACCTTCCATGTTTCGCTATTGAAATTATGTCCAAATCCATCTGTCAAACAGAGGCATCCCCCTGAAAATTGGCCAAAAGTTCCAGCTACCCTTATTACGCAAGTGATCTTGAACAAGAGGGTAGGAAGACATAAGGGAAGAGTTATTACTGAAGTGTTCGTACAGTGGCAAGTTAAGCCAGATGAGGAAGCAAGCTGGATGTCCTTGTCCAACTTTCAAAAACAGTTTCCAAATTTTCAAGTTCCAAACCTTTGAGGACAAGGGCTGTTAAAAGGGGGTATTGATATATAAAATAATAAAAACCATGTGTTATTTAGGTAGTGGTAGTTATTAAAGGGAAGTTAGGTCATTTGTTGTTTTGTTTGACTTTTCTGCACCTAAAGCCTATAAATACTAGGTTTCTCTTAATTGTAATTAGGCTGATATCATAATAAAATGTATCATTCAGAAACCTGATTCTCTCTCTCTATTTTTCTCTGTTCCTTCATTCTTTTCTGAATTCTCCTCCTCTTCTTCTCAAACTCTATCTTATATCTCTCTTCTATCCTACTTCTTCAACCTTTTTCCTATCAGTGATTTTACAGATTTTTAAGGCATATCTTTGCCCTCCGATGAAGCAAAGGGTAACAAGATACAAGGAAGCACGGATACACCGATTTTGGTTTGTATCCGTGCCCGATATGTACTGGACACAGACACTCACTCCATGCGAGTACGTCCGTGTCTGACAAGTTTTTTTTTTTTGGCAACACGACTTTGACACAGCGGACACAACTTCTACGCGGGACACTGCATTTTGCGTAAAAAATTTAACTAAATCCCTAATGCGCAAACCATTCAGCAGTTCAAATGTTTTCGAATCCTGCAATCTCTCCCTAGTCTCATTCATCACTCTCGTCCCTATCCATGCCTTCTTGTTTGTGCTGTCATGAACCCATCCATTCTCACCTCACAAGTCGCATCTCATTCTGTCTTCTGTGGTTGCTCAGCTCGTCGGTCCAATAAAGGCTCTCGTCCTTTACTCATCTCGCCTTCTCTCTTCTCTACCTTCGAGTTCTTGTTAAAATATCTCACTCGTCTTCTCTGCCTACTATGATAGCCTGAAACTGAAGCATATTATTATTTTATTATGTTGCTGCTTTTTTCAAAGTTCGACTATTATTTATATTATTAATTTAATATCTTGCTCTCCATATGCACAGAACTTGTTGCTCACTTTGTTTATTTTAGACTTAGTTTGACTATGATTCTCAATGGTTCTGGTCCTGTCTTGTTTTAGTTTATTTCAATTTGTTTTTTCCTTTTTTTTTTTGTTTAATTAGATATGGCTGCAACTAATAATTCTAGGGGAACAGCTCGTTATTCTTCTATGAATGAGCTACAAAAAAAAAAAAAGTCACTTTGATCACTTTGTATTTGGTTGAATTGCTATGCACTTTAAATAGTTGAGTTGTTATTTACATTTATATAAAAAAATTCACATATCCCCGCACCGTATCCTAAAATTTTTAAAATTTGCCGTATCACCATATCGTATCCGATACTCGTACCCGTATCTGTGCAACCTAGGATACGAGGGCCCAAACCCAAGAGAAAAAACGAGGCTAGTGATGAACAACCACCTACTCTTCTAGTAGTAGGAAGCTGTAATTGAACATCCATAAACACAGGTTTTGGATTCCCAACATCCTCAAATATTTTATAAGATTGAGTTTCTAGCTTTGTTTAGAGGCTCTGCACATGGTTGTTTCAAGGGAGTTTCTATTTCTGACACACAGATATTGAACAGCTTTGTTTCAGTTTAAAACCTCTATGGCTACCTTCTTTCCACCCAAAAAAATCTTCATTTGTCCAAATAAAAAGAACAAGCACAAATTGAGTTTCATACTGGATGACATATAGGTAGGGGAAAGGGAAACCTACTCTATTCCAGAGGGAAACGCACATTGAAGAACCTTCATTGCAATTGGCTTGAAAGGTAGAAGTGCTAGTTCAGGATTCAGAACATCCTGCAAACAATAAAAATTCAACATTAGGCACCTTTGTCCAGGTTGCATCACAGAAAATCTACGTGTTCAAGGTGCATAAATATATTAAATTTTATTCATAGAGGAAAAAGAAAGACTGCAAACAAACTTCACAAAAGGCAATAAAATTATGTAATGTGCAATGTAACGCAATAGTACCTCAAGGATAAGTAAAGATTTTGGATCCCCACTCCAACATCGAAGCAAATGAACAACAGGACCAAGGCGCAGACTCCAATGAGGAGAAAATACAATACACGGTTCCTGCCAATTCATTCTAATTACAAACCATCAGTTTCTTTCAAGCCCTTTTCGTGAACTTTGAAATTACTGACAATAACTCAGAATGTGTTCTTTTCCCAGAAGATGTTGAAAATAAAAAAACCAGCATGGTTTTGGGCCTAGGAAGGACAAAATCACTACAGATTGATGAGTAGTTGACCCCCAAAACACAGGAAGGGGCAAGGAAAAACTTACAGGAGTTTATGTGAATAAATAGCTGGAACCACATGAAGCCTCTTCTGTTTTATCAGATCAGCATGCAAAAACAATGGTTCCCCAGCAAACAGCTGCATCACCAAGTCATTTAAACATCAAATTCTGTGAGTAACTACAAACAAATATGTTTTAAAAAACTGTATACAAGTGAAACGTTTACAAATTCGTGTCTTATCTTACCCTTTCTTGTCGTTGTTTGCAGAGCCATTCTGGTATGATATTAAGGACTGCAAGTAATTCCTCCGCCACAGAAGAAATTATATAAATTGGAACCTGCAAACAAATAAATTAGTAACTTAACAAGCATGGTTTTAAGAGTGGATGTGTACATGCCCATGTTACATTGAAATTTAATTTAATTATGAGGAATAGTGATAACTCCGCCTATGTTTATAGCCGGTCCCAAGCTCGGGTAAAGAAGGAGGGTTGTGTTAGGCCATCAACAGCCAACGTAAAACTTTGTTGAATCTATCATGAACATGGACAATAGACGTTATAATGTTAATGCTAGGTCGTTGCTCGTAAGTAACGCGCTGCATGGCTCGAGTACAGTGATAAGTGAGTTAGAGCCGCTGCATCGGCGCCCGGATGTAGTGTTAAATGAGCAAGGGCTACCGCGTCATTCTGGACGCACGCGGCTAAAGAAGTTAGTCCATAAGAGCAAAATTAGATTTGGTACTTGGAATGTTGGGACATTGAATTGTAAATCTGTAGAGGTTGTAGGGGTTATGATTCAAAGGAAAATCAATATCCTTTGCCTGCAAGAAACAAAATGGCGTGGAGAAGAAGCTAAAGATATTCAAGGTTTCAAACTTTGGTATACAGGAAAAATAAGTGCACGCAATGGAATAGGTATCATTATAGATAAGGAGTGGAAGAAGAACGTTGTAGAAGTTAGCAGAATTGGAGACAGAATTATTTCCTTAAAAATGATAATTGGACATGAGACTGTTAATATTGTTAGCGCTTATGCGCCGCAAGTCGGGACAGAAGCCAGTCTTAAGGAATTATTTTGGGAGGATCTGGAGGAGTTGATTCGACACATACCACAGAGTGAAAAGATTTTTATTGGAGGAGACTTTAATGGGCATGTCGGGAGGGAAGCTGATCAGTATGCGAGGGTGCATGGTGGTTTTGGTTTTGGAGAGCTAAACAATGAAGGACACACTCTTCTTGATTTCTCATTGGCGTATGATTTTAAGATGCCAACACTTGTTTCAAGAAGAGAGACGAGCATCTCATCACTTACAAAAGTGGAGCCTCAAGGTCACAGATTGATTTTCTTTTGGTTAGGAACATAGATAAAAGACTTTGTAAAAATTGCAAGGTGATCTCCGGAGATGCTGTAACGACACAACATAAGGTCCTAATCCTTGATGTGTGTATTATGAGTAAAATCCAAAAACGTCGACAAGTAGTAGCACCAAGGATTAGGTGGTGGTAATTAAAAGGTGAGAAGCAAGATATTTTCAAGCGAAATCTTTTGGATAAAGGAATTTGGGAATCTCAGGGAAATGCTAACATCATGTGGGAGGATATGGCTAAAAAGATACGGGAGGTTGCAAAAGTAGTTTTGGGAGAATCAAAAGGTTCTGGTCCGAGAGATAACGAGTCTTGGTGGTGGAATAATAGTGTACAGGACAAAATCAAGTATAAGAAGAACTGTTTTAAAGCCATACATTTGTGTAACAACGAGGAAAATTGGGAAAAGTACCGTATGGCTAAGAAGGAAACTAAGAGAGCTATGGCTGAAGCTCTTTCTAAAGCTTTTGAAGAATTTTATAAGAGCCTTGAGACGAAGGAAGGAGAGCGAAATATTTATAAGATTGCCAAGAGTAGGGAAAGAAAATCAAGAAATCTAGAACAGGTAAGGTGTATTAAGGATGAAGAGGGAAGAACTTTAGTTACAGATGATGAAATTAAAAATAGATGGGAGACTTACTTTTCTAAACTTTTCAATGATGGAGAGGGTTCATCTAGTAACTTGGGGGATTTAGTAACTGGTGAAGGAGAACAAAATTTGTCATTCTATCGAATAATACGTGATAAGGAGGTAAAGAAAGCTCTTAAGAAAATGGCAAATGGTAGAGCCAACGGACCTGATTGTATATCTATCGAAGCATGGAAATGTTTAGGTGAAGAAGGGGTGAGATGGTTAACTAAGTTATTTAATGTGATTTTACGGTCCAAGAAAATGCCTGAGGAGTGGAGGAGAAGTACATTAATTCCTATTTACAAAAATAAAGGAGATATTCAGAATTGTACTAACTATAGAGGGATTAAACTCATGAGCCACACAATGAAATTGTGGGAGAAAGTAATTGAGCACAGGTTGAGATTGGAGACAAGTATTTCTGAGAATCAGTTTGGTTTTATGCCAGGTAGATCAACTACAGAGGCGATTTATCTACTAAGAAGATTAATGGAAAAGTATCGTTGTAAAGATAAAGATCTAAATATGGTTTTTATTGATTTGGAAAAAGCTTATGACCGTATACCAAGAGAAGTGCTTCGGAAAGCGTTAGAAAAAAAAGGAGTACGGATTGCTTATATTAAAGCCATACAAGATATGTATGAGGGGGTAAAAACTAGTATAAGAACGCCTAGTGGTCAAACAAAGGATTTTCCTATAAAGATTGGACTACATCAAGGATCATCTCTGAGTCTTTATTTGTTCAACTTGATCTTAAATGTTTTGACGGAACATATTCAAGGAGAAATTCCAAAATGTATGCTCTTCGCGGATGATATAGTTCTTATAGCAGAGACAAGAGAAGAGGTTAATTGCAAACTTGAGTTATGGAGGAGGACATTGGAGTCGAAAGGTTTTCGTCTGAGTAGAAGTAAGACGGAATATTTATATTGTAAATTTGGTAAAGGACTATTTGACAATAATTTGGAAGTGAAATTGGGAGATCAAATTATACCTCAAGTGGAAAGTTTAGATATTTGGGAGCCATTATTCAAAATGATGGCGAAATCAGTGGAGATATTTCACATAGAATTCAAGCTGGATGGTTTAATTGAAAAAAAGCTAAAGGAGTTATTTGTGACCGTAAGGTGCCTAATAAACTTAAAGGAAAGTTTTATCGCACTGCTATCAGACCGACAATGTTATATAGTAGTGAATGCTGGGCTCTAACAAGACAGCAAGAGCATAAAATTGGAGTAGCAGAGATGAGAATGTTACGATGGATGTGCGGACATACACGTAAAGATAAAATTCGAAATGAGCACGTACGCGAAAAAGTGAGGGTGGCACCTATTGAGGAAAAAATGGTAGAAAATCGGTTGAGATGGTTTGGGCATATACAAAGCAGACCAAGGGAGGCACCAGTGAGAAGAGTGGAACATATAACTTTGAGTCCGATTAAGAGAGGTAGAGGAAGGCCTAAGAGAACACTCTTGAAAGTTATTGAACGCGATCTCTTAATTAATAATATTCCTAAAAGCTTGATAAATAATAGAACACAATGGCGTCTTACAATACATGTAGCCGACCCCACCTAGTGGGATAAAAGCTTGTTGTTGTTGTTGTTGTTGTTGTATGAGGAATAGTGATGACAGGGCCAGACTCTTGACCGCTTGACAAAAAAACTTTGACATCATGACAAGGACCAACAACCAAAAAGTTAAAAGATGCAAGTGCTCGAATGGTTCTCATCTCTAACTACGGAAATGATTGCACAATATTTATGAAACTTTACAAACCATAAACCAATGCTATCTAAGTTCACTAGACAAAATTATTGATGAGACTTTGATTTCCCATTGACAAAGCAGCAAATAACATGAAAAGGTGAATAAAACCAGTAAAAATAACGAGGGACATGGGTCTGAACTTGTTAGCCCCAAAATTACAGAAAAAATGTAGTATGTTAATTGAAAACTCTACAGGTTAGTGTTACAAAAGTTGAAAAGCAACCAAGACAGCCGCTGAACACAGTCAGCTTGCCCAGGGTTGTTCAAGCCATCGGTATGCAGTCTTAAGGTAGAGGAGAAGAAACTTCATAGAAAGGCCTAGCAAAGACAACCACCATGTATATTTTGGCGGCGTATTAGGATCTTGACAACTTTCAATAGTAAAACATTCAAAAGAAGAATATGTACCTCCATTGCTGAAGATTCTAGCAAAGCTATCAGGTGCTCCAAAAGCAGCAGAAAAGTTCCAATTTGACTAACAGGAATTAGTACTGATCCACCACCTTTGACACACTCCATAGCACAGGATGATATGAAAACCAGCTTTTCCTTTTCTTCTAAATTTTCATCAGAGTTGAGGAAGCATTCTGCTTGTTCTACAGAGATGCTATTGTGATCACTGTCAAAGTAAATTTAATGACAAATTTTCATCACCTTGACTGCGAGATGACACTTTAATTACAGAAATGCAATACTTGAAATGCCTGGATAAGATTTGGAAACTCAAGAACGAATTGTTAAAACCATACCTGAGAAATAATGAGTCATTAACAGATCGTTTAGAGGAACTATTGTCATCCTCATCTTGTGTGATACTCAAGGATGAGAAATCTGAATAAATTAACATGCGAGTCCCTTGTAGACTATGGAAATCAAAATTCATTGCATGAGCAGAGTTGAAGCTGGAGCTTGAAATATAGCCTACGTCCCCCTTTGGACCCCTTAAAATCCAGTTACAACTACCAAATTCTACGCCAGAGCTCAATGCCTTTATAATCAATATGCCATTGTAGCAGGCTTCTTCTGCATATTTAAGTGTCTGAACCTTCAATATGCAATCCTTCACATCTGCCTCACTGAGAAATTTCCAAATTATAGCCAGAATAACTAAAGTTTGCATACTCGTCATCAATGAATAAAGTGAAAATAACCAACAACATTAGGATGAGAGTGTAAGAACCAACATAATAACTACACTAACAAGCAGCATGTATGCGGATAGAATTTGACTACCTATAACAATTGAGCAATACCAAAGGAAAATAACTGAGGGATAAAGAGACGAGAGTTAACTTTCATCTTCCCCCAGATAGAGAGGGAGTGATTTTCGACTCATTTTCAATAACCAAGCTCCGGCTGCTAAGATTCAAATGACAGTTGAGACAGTAACTAACAGTAAGCCAAAAATTGAACAGTATCTACTTCATACGATAGTCAGTTAAGTCAAACATATTGCCTTCAATGTCACGTATATAATGCATGATAAATGCATCATAAATAAATATAGATTAGACTACCTGTATAATGGCATCCAACCACCTAGTTCTTCTCCATCTTTGCCCAAAATTATTTCTCTCAACTCAGAATGAAGCATTTCAAGCCCTTCCTGCCCCATCCATGAAGGGAAGTTAGATTCCTCTGGTCCATAAAACTGCCTTAACTCTGCATGCATTGATACAAGATCCTCCATCATAAGCTGGCCCAATCTTGCTGATACTTCAGTTACATAAATCTACCAAATTTAAATGAGTGACTAAGCAAACAGAATTTGGTAATAGAGTACAACAAAAATGAGATCATTTAAAAATTAACATTTCAATGTGAATGGAGAACATCAATGTGGGTACCTTTGCTGAAAAACCCTTCATTCGAGTAAGAAAAGGCAATCCCAGTATACCCATAGGTCTTGAGATCAATATAACATCAATGGAACACCAGTTCCAAAGATGTAAATCTTTAACAGACTTGTACCAAGGTTCTGCAAAAATTAAATCATTGGCATCAAGGGGCTTTTCCATTTTGAGCCTCTTGTGAGACCCATCTTCTAAGCCTAGAGAAGCAAAGGCTTGAGAGTTGCTGCTTTCTTTGCAGGGCAATGCTATAGACCCAGTAGGTACAGGAGAGAACACTGTGAGAGCTGAGAGGTCAAGTGGGCAATCCAATAAGATCCTAAGCCCACAAAAATTCAGCATATGACATGGCGGGAAGGGGAATCCCCCACCTTTGTTCAAACATGTCTGCAAAAAACTCAGGAAAACACAAAATTCAAATCAAAAGGGAAAATTATGCTTAAGTATTGTAAACAAAACTTTGCTGAAGCACAAAAATACAAACATATGGTGCAAGAAACTCACAAGCTTCATGAAGACTAGGAGGAAAAAAGTTTGTCCTCCAAGCAAATATGGTTGTCAATAATTCACCCACAGGACCAGATACTGTGATAACCCATTTGAGAGAAGCAAGTCACATTCTCAGGTTATAAATTGGACGGAGATGATTTTAAGCACGTCAATCTCACAGGTAGTATTGCTACACAAGGAAAGAGTATAAGTGGGTCAGCACATTAGGACAAGAGTCGAAAATTTCGAAATAAAACATTAAATGGGGAGTTGGAATGGCTTCTGTTTCTCTTTACCATTAAGTTTAAGACATTTTGTCTTCCAACCAGGAAGCAAATGGAAATTACAAAGGGGACCTTCTCTTTGGCTTGATTATGGTGCAGACAGGTTTTTGGATCATGATATGGCAATGCGCATGGAAACAAGGAATTTTATTGAGCAATAAATATATGAGAAAAGATTATGCAAGTGTCTCACTTAATCAAGACCTAAGAAGCACTGATACAAGTATGAATATCAGGTATGATACAGCATGCTATGATGGATACACCAATTTTTAAAAATTTTGAATATGGGTACAAGAATATATTTTTAAAAAAAAATTATACATATGTAAATAAATTTGTGTGCGCATAAGTAACAATTCAACTAATAAAAGTGACTTTAACAATTTCATAATGTTATAAATGGTAAGACAAAACAAAATACAAATAAGTGTTACCAAATACATTTCAAAATGTCAATGTCATAGATGAGGATGAATTTAAATTATTCCTCATCTTCAATGATATTACTAGATTCTCCTACAAGCTCTTGCTCAACTCCAAGACCATCAACACCATCAAATGGCTCCAAAGTGTTTCCATGGACATCCCACATTCTACTTTGTCCAGTGGAATACTTTTCATTCTTTATTGATAAAAGACGAAGGTTATTATGTACAAATACTAAGTCTTCTGCTCTTTTTGGAGTTATTTTGGTCCTCTTCAATGAATGCATAAAAGAGTAAGTGCTCCAATTTCTTCCACAGCAAGATGATGAGCATGGTTGACCAAGAAGTCTCAATGCAAGTCTTTGAAGAATCGGGGTGAAAGAACCATAATTTAGCCACCACCTTTTAGGATCCAAATTCCACCTATCTTCTAAGGAATCAGGTGATGAATAAAATTCTGAACATAGACAAAACTTCGAATACTCTTGAAGGACCAACTTTCTCTCATCAGGATCATTAAAGTACCTATTAAAGCATTTTACTCTCTCTCTTGATATTTCAGCATCTCTGTGGGGAGGAACTCTATTAGATGCACCATTAATCCATTGAGGTGTATAATACCTACAACATGTGAAAAAAAAATATTAAGATTAAATCTAAAAATATCATGAATGACAAACATTGTAGTATAACTAACCTAGGATTCAATGAATGAGCAAGATAATGAAGAGGCATGCAACCCTTTGTCCAATGGTCAATAATGATCCCATAAACAACTTCATAAAAACTTGAATGCTGAGATAGCAATTTCTTCTCATGCTTATAAATGGATTCCTTCACTTCTTTTATCATTGAGTTCCACATTTCATAAATCAAATGAAGTGTAGGCTTATTTGTATCAACAAACCGAAGCAAGTCATAAATTGGTCTTGTGAAAGAAAGTATGTAGTCAATCTTTTCCCACCAAGAGTCATTAAGAACCAAGTCTTTAACTGTAACTGCCTTTTCAACATCATCTTCTTTATAAGTATTCCATGCTTCACTTATAACCATTGTACGAAGACAAGTTTTGATGAGTTTGAGTCTCTTGAACATCCCGATTGTTGAAGCAAATCTAGTTTCAGCCATGGCAAGCAACTTCAATGGCACAAATTCATTAAAAATTGCCAATCTCATAGAATGGCTCATAATAAAAGTTTTAATAAACATTGCGTCATCCTCAACCACCTTGATCCAATGACACTCATCATACAGAATTCCATTTTCCTCTGTGTTTTTTGCTGCACATATATTTTTCAATGCAAGATTAAGCGTATGTACAACACATGGTGTCCAAAAAATGCGGGGATAGTCAGCCTCTATAAGTTTACCTGCAGCTTTGCAAACAGCCGCATTATCAGTAATTATTTGAACAACATTATGAGGCTTGACTCCTTCGATAACTTCACGCATCAATTCAGCCATATAAAATCTATCTTTATATTCTTTCGACCCATCAATTGCCTTCAAAAACATAGCATCCCCATCAAATACAGCCATAACATTAATTAATGACCTCCTTCGTATATCCGTCCAACCATATGTAACTATGCTTACCCCCTTATTACTCCAAGTCCCTTTGATTGGTTCAAGTAACCTCTCTATGTTAGCCCTTTCTTTTTGCAACAAGGGGCCTAGTAATGCATTATAACTAGGAGGTTTATACCCAGGAATTACATTATTAGCAGCATATTGAAATGAACTAATAAAAAATGGATTGCATGCCAAATGAAGAGACAAACCAGCTGTATAAAACATTCTTGCAATTTCAGCATGTAGATTTTCTCTAGCTCCTTGGTTGAAGGCCCTTTCTAATGGACTTACAGCCCTCCTCTTCCCTGGATTATATTCACTTTGAACAGGGATGTTATCTCTTTGACTTAAAGGAGACAAGCCCACAATTGGGGGTGGTAATGGCACTTGCTTAGATTTTGTTCTATCATCAGCATCTTTTTGCAATTTTTTCATCTCAGCTAAGCAATAATTATCAACCTTTGAGCATAGAGCAATTCCTTTGCCAGAGATTTTTAACAAGTGCCACTTAACTCTAGAATAAGAGCCATTATATTCACGATTGCAATAATTGCACTTCCAATATCTATTTTCACCTACAGTTATATTTTCCCCTTTTCTATTCCTATTTACTAAAGTCACATAACCCCACAAAGGAGTTCCATCTTTTTGTAGCTCATTAGGAGAACAGTATCGTGCAGAATTGACACTCCCTGAACTACTAGTTCCAGCCATGTATATCTAAGTAAAAAAGAAAGACAGAAAACATATCAAATAATGCCAAAATCAAATAGTTGGGTAAAATAATAAAATTGTACAGCACAGGCTATCACAATAAAGGAGACAAAGACTACACACAATCCACAATAAAAAAGAAATAAAAAGCCAATATTGTGAATATTGTGCAGATGAGCTCTTTCTTTTCTTCCTTTCCGTTACATAATTATTATAAATAAGAAAAGAATTAGGTATGTTAGGATTTAAATAGGTTTAGATTATTTAAATATATTAAGATGATGATCTATGATTTAAATAGAATTTAGATAGGTTTGATATTTATCATCATCATCATCATCATCATGATTATGATTATGATTATGATTATTATTATTATTATTATTATTATTATTATTATTATATTAGTAGAATTTGGATAGACTAGGATATATATTCAAATGAGAATAATGACTACAAATAAGAGGCAATAGATTACCTAATTTCAGACTTAGATTTCTAATGAGAATTGCATATTCAGATTTGCTCTTCTGTCTCTCTGTTTCCTTTCTCTCTTTTTCCTCTCTTTCTCTCTCTTTTCAATCTAAATTATATAACACTTTCCAATTAGTATAACACGAGCATAAGAGAGAGTGAGAGAAAGAAGCAATCTTAAGTTTTAAAAATAAATAGCCCAATGAATGAATAACAAATCGTAACAGAAAGGGAGTGGGAGAGAAGAGAAAGTAAGACTGAAGGAAGCAAGGAGGTCGCTAGAATAGTGAACAGGGACGCCAAAATAGTTTCTTATAGTGGAAAGGCTGACAATAGAAGTGGAGGCGCGATGCCAAAACATTTTCAGTGGAGAAGACATTTAAGGACCAGGTTAGGATTTTGATTTAGGGTTCAAAGCTTTAAAGAATAAATGACTCAAAATGCAGCATCATGCATCCTCTCGTAACTGTCCATGTCGGAGCTGTGTTGGAAGTACCACGCATATCAGCCAAAAAAATATATTGGACGCAGACACACATGTACAAGACACATCATGCTTCCTTGAATAGCCTAGTAAAATCTCCAATGACAGCAAAGAAGGACAGATTCTGCATATCAGCCATGTCACAACCTAGGTGACTATTTATAAAGTAGGAATGAATTTTCAAAAGGATGGAATCATCTAACTGTCTTTTCAACAAGTTAGCTAAGGCAAAACAGAGTGGCAATATAATTTCTTTCGTCCCTAAATAATTTTCAGAAGCAAAGGACAAAAGAATGCAATAGAAACAAGAAAACTACACAACCATTAAAACTGTATTAACAAGTTCCCAACAAAATCAAATGGTAATCTGATCTATTCATGCAAAGTAGCCATGTAAATCATGTCCCTTTAATCCATTAAGTACCAAGAGTGTCACAATGTTGTGGTCCCCATATGTTTCAATATACTGGAGGATGTTGTCTAATTTTTTATCTTTGGCCACAGGAGGATGCTGTCTAATTCATGTCTCTCTAATTCCCCACACATGCTCAGTTTTTACACTGTCCATACCATGAAGGAAAAAAAGGAGCAAGCCTACAAATGTGCTAATAATTAACTAGAGCTCGCCCACGTGTCTCTGCAAACTAGATCACATTACAAGGCAAACAAAGAGTATCAAAGCCGAGGGCCAAGATGAGGGAGAGGGGAATAAAGCCTTTCAAATCGAAGCAACAAATTAATCCAAGGAAATAATAACGAATCCACAAAGCAACCAAGTCCAGAAGCAAGAGGCGGAAGAAAAAGCAAGGGAGGGAGAAGCAAGTTGAAGGAGAACTAGAGAGGGAGTGAGGCTGAGCAACTTATAAATACAGCAAGAGACATGGTATTCGAGCAATGGAAAGGAAAATCCTTAATAGATGTTTGGGGGGGGGGGGACAGAAAGGGAAAATTCCGGTTGGAAGAGTATTTGTTGTGCAATGGAAATTGGAAAGAAGCTCCGTGCAAGGAACTTAAAAGCACTGGTCACTTCAATGGTCATGGTCAAACCAGGAAACCGGAGTCAGACGATTAAAATGTGTAAAAATATTCTTATTTGACTATGTAAAAAGAAACATTTAAATAAAAAGGCATTCATCCATCTTGAATGTCTAAGATAACTTTAATCTCCCGGCTAAAATAATTTCAAGTTTCAACACACTAAAAAACACAAACATGAACATTTTGTAGAATCCTAAAGATGAAAAGATCCAGGTTCAAACACAAATTGCAGGGAATAAAATCTTCATAGCAGTTCAGAGTCAGCTTATAGACTGAAATTCAACAGCATAATGGAATTATTATTATCGAAACAACAATCGGGCAGAGTAAAATTATTATTATCAAAAAGTAATTTGCAGCAGAAATTATAAGTGAAATATGGGGGAGTGAGTGGGAGGGAGGTGGCAAACTGGAATGGAGTTGAACTCTGAAGGAATCTTGAAGAGCGCGAACAAGTTGAACTCTGAAGATGAAGCTTGGAGCCAACGAACGAGGGACTTGTCCTAGAACGAGAACGACAGTGAAGCTTGAGAATGCCGACGAGGAGATGAGAACGACACCAGCAGCAGCGAAGACGACGTACTTTGGCCGAGAACAACAATAAAGCTTGAAACTTGAAGCCACGGCAAACCCCCACAACGGCGACGGACACGAGAGAGGATCCCGGTGAGGTCCCAATCACGACACAGAAACGAGCAACAGCGAACGGAAGAGTGTGCGGTCAGAAGAGAGGCGTCGAGTTGAGACTCGCAGGTAGAATGAGAAGGATTAGGGTCTGGTAATTTTGTTGGGTTTGGTTATTGTTTCTGTATTTATTTTTTCTAGGTCGCCGTTGTTTTCTTTTTTTTTTGGTTATATTCTCCATTTTCTATTTTTATTAAATTATTATTAAATTAAAGGTCATTTTTTACCCTCAACCTGAATAAAAAAATACACAAATAACTTTAAGAGTAAAATTTATGAACTTATTTTTATATACTTAATATATTTATATCCAATCAAATCGTAATAAGTAGATCTAAATATGGTAATAAAATTAAGAAAAAATTGATAAAAAGGACCTTACTAAAAGGAAAATTGATCCTAAGGACCAAATGCAATTCAAAAATTAAGGCTAATATTTTATTCATTTTACAATATGAACAAATGATAGAAATACTCTTCTCTTTAAACCAATAAAATTTGAAAAAAAAAAAAAAGCAAAGACTCCTTGTTTAACACATACACTCCAAGCCAGAAGCCTTGCACCCCAAGCTAAAAGCTTGGTGCAAGCTTCTAGGCTTAGAGTGCAAGGCTTCACAAGGTTTTTGGCTGTGAAAGCGTCTGGTTTAAGGTGCAAAGCTTTTGACAAATCCTCACAAGGCTTTTGGCTTGGGTTGCAAAGCTTCTGGCTTAAAGTGCATATATTGAACAAGCAATCTTTGTTTTTTTTCCTTCAATTTTGTTGGTTTAAAGAGAGGAGTATTTTGGTCATTTGTTCATATTATTTAATGAATAAAATATTAGCCTTACTCCTTGAATTGCATTTGGTCTTTGAGACTCGTTTTCCTTCTAATAAGGTCCTTTTCGCCAATTTTTTCTAAAATTAATATCAAGAATTTATTATAAAATAAATAATATATAAAATATTCACATGTCTTGGTTTAATTGGAAGCAAACACATTAAGTATATAAGGTTAATTATATAAGTTTTTCACTAACCTTAAACCTAATTATGGATCATTTGTAAATTCTCTTTTTCGTTACCTTTACATTAAATGTGTCAAATTGTTTATTATCAATAGGTCTTACAATTGTTTAATATTTTTTATTCTCACCTTCTCTCTTCTTTCTCCTCCACATTTGCATGTCACATGTCTTCTTCTTTGCCTCGATATTCCTTTCATGGTTGAACACCAAAAACCTCACCACAATCATGCTTAAGTCTTCATTGCCAACCACTATTTGATCTATATAGGCTGAGGTTGCTATGAACAAAACCATATTAACTAATGCGCTCAACGTCCTCCAGTCATGTCCTTTGCCTTGGCGTAACCACATGACCGTCCAAACTGAGTGTGTGTGGCCCAATTGTCTCAAATTCTCAACATGGACCTACAAGCCTCACAACAACAATTCATGGCACTTATTGTAAGTATCACCGGATTGACTAGCTAAAACCTTATGCCATCCTAATTCTCTCGACAACCCTTGGAAAGTTTACTGCGTTACTTTAGATACGCTCTACACTAAAGATACACATGGTTGTTGTGAGGTCGAACACCCTTAAAAACAAAGTCCTACATTTGCTTGTGTTTAACTAAAACCTTTGTTCGAGCTGGGTGAACTCAAGTCATAGTCATTGTACAGAGCTATCATTATTAAGTTCGTGTCCACCTTCTTGTTCCTCTATATCACAAGAATGCTAGTCGAGGCATCATCTAAGTTCATGTCCACCTTCATTCTAATGAGTCGACACGAAGAAGAGAGAGGAGAGTAAGAGAGGGAGGGTGAGAGAGAGTAAGAGGGGGAGGGAGAGAGACGAAAAGAGTGAGACAAGAGGAGGCAAATGATCAAGTTGCAAATATCTCTTTTAATGAGAAGGATGACTTCATAGTATGAAATGGCATCGCCCAGGAAGGCTATGCTAGGTGCATGATATGCCTGGCTTGAAACCATTTAAGCTAAAAGAAAATGATCCTGAGTTGATTTTGTGGAGCAGTGAGAGGAACAAGAAGATGAAGATGATAAGGGAAGGTTTTAATTTGTTATCTTAATGGCCATGGTTGATTAGCGATGTAGGTATTTTGTACCATGGTTAATATTGTTTGGATATAAATAATCATTTTTTTGTTATCTTCTTATTCTTATGATAGCCCTCTAGCTTGTATGTTTTTTTGCCCTAAATGGTTTTTTTTTTTGTTCATGTTGCCTGTTAATTGCAATTGCAGAGAGAGAATAAGAGAGAAAGAGAGAGGGAGAGTAGGGAGAGAAGGAGGAGAGAGAGTATTAAAAATGAATTGTGAGACCCACTTAAATATTTTGTAATAAAAAATATTAAAAAATTCAAACGTGAGCACTACTAACAATAACAATGGATGGACTTAACAACAAGGTGATAAAAACTAGATTCTTAACGATTAAGGGATATAAATGACCTATAGTTGAATTTAAAGTCATTTTGTATACTTCTGTGTTTATTTTAGGGGCAAAAATAACCTTTAACCTATATTTATTTATTGTTTTTACTTATTTCTAATTGTCTCTTTATTCATGTTTTTGGTTTGTTCCATTACTAAGATACTCTATTTTATTTTAGGGAGAATCTCATTTAGGGTCTTCAGAGCACAAACAATTGCATTGAGGTATAGTACAATCAAAAGAATGTCTATAGGCCCAAGGGTTTTCAAGTGAAAAATATGTTTTAATGAGAAAATATGCATTTGCCCTCCCTCTCTCCAGGAATGCATAATACAATATCTACAGATTCTCAACACAATATCTTATAATATACAATTAGTCTAATGGAAATAGTTTAACTTGAAATGTACAAGTTGCACAGGATGAAAGAACAATATATGTTTATGAATGCATAATACAATGTCCTATAATATACAATTGGTTTAGTAGAAATTGTATAACTTAAAATGTACAAGTTGCATGAGATAAAAAATAACAGAATGTCTGTAAATGTATAATACAATGTCCATAAAGTCTCACTACAATGTCCTACAATTGACAGCAAAATATTTAACAGAAAATGTGTCTTTTTTCATTAAAATATATTTTCATTTAAGGCCATTGAGCTTGTAGAAAGTTTTCATATTGTATTAGTCTTAAATGCAAAATTTTATGCTATAGAGGCCCTAAGTGAAATTCTCACTTTATTTTATTTTGGATTTTGAAACATGGATTGTTATTAGACTAAAGATCATTTTTCTCATTAATTTTTTTGGGATGAGCACTAGATATCATGTATTAATAAATAGGGTAAATTTTTTTAAAATTATTTTTTCAAAAAGCTAAAAACCCATTTTGTCAAGAAGTTATCTATTTCACCATTATCTACCTACATATATTATGTGTGAGCGCATTGCTTTCTAACATGATTTAATAATATAGGGTTAAAGTGCAAATTTATCTTTAATTTTTTTTTCTAATAACACTAGACATCCTAAAATTTTGTTAAAATATAATTTAACAAATATTTATTTTAATATGGGTCTATCCTTGCGTGGAGTGACAAAATACAATAAAATTATATAAAGATAAATAGTTATTTTACCTTTTATGAGAAAAAAAACCAAAGCGCGTGTGGATTTGGGGCGGAAGCAATAAACAAATATGAACAAAAAAAAAATTAAACTAGTCAACCCATCCCCTCTATTTTTTGCTCTTCAAGAAAATAATTTAAAAGAAATTTTTTTCATTTGACAACATAGGGTGGCCAGTGCTTTAAAAAAAAAAATTAAAGCAGAAATGATCTTCAACCCATTGTTATTTTTGGTTAACGTTGATGTTGAAGTTTGTACATCGTTTTCAGTTTTTTTCTAATTGATCTTCGTTATTATGTATTTTGGGATCGCTCTGTGTCAATTTTTTTTTCTTATTTTAACATTGAACACAAGATTTAAGACCATTAATTAATAATTAATTACAGGTCAAATAATTTTACATCATTAATGCTACATTGTTGTCATTCTAGTCATATTTAAAATTAGAGGAATTAATGTTTTAAACAAGGAATACTATAGGAACATGGAGCCAGTGACGGCCCAGAAAAATAAGTCAATGGTGGGCATAATTTATAATTAAAATAAATATTATCCAAAAATAATTTTATAAAAAATAACTTTAAAATCTATTAAATTATATTAAGGGTATAAATTAATAAAATTAAATATTAAAAACATAGACCATAACATTATAATAACAAAAATATTCTCTTTATATAAACATTTATGTGTGTGTATTAGAATCATTTTTTTTATTTTCATTAAATAAAATTTATACACTTCTTTGGTATGGTAGAGATTTTTTGTACTACAATTTTTCATAAACACTCTTTTTCAAAATTATTTCTTTTCCATTTTAAATTTTTTTTTTATCTAAGATATTCTCACAACTAGTAATCATAGACTAAATTTTCAAGAAATTTAATTGTTTTTCCATACACACTTTTGGAAATTATCACAACATACATACATACTTACATACATATATATATATATATATAATTTGAGATAATACATTTTTTAGTGAGATAAGTAAAATTTTATAAGGGGATAAGTGAACCTTTTTTAAACAAGGAGGTAATTGAAATCTGTTAAGAGAAGCAACTAAAATTATTTGGGGTCATTTTATGTAAATTTTTCTTGGATTGTGGGGAAATGGCCCCTCTATCACAAGCATGGGTCTACCCCTTCTTGGAGTGATAAAGCACAATAAAATTATAAAGATCCATAATTATTTTTTCATTTTTTTAAAAAACCAAAACGCGTGGATTTGGAGTGGAAGCAATAAATAAATAAATATTAACCAAAAAACATATTAAATCCCTCAACCCGTCGGGTTGATATCCATCCAGTTTATTTGAACAACCAAATTGACTGAGTGGTCTATTCACTGGTTAACATTCATATCAAGCATCAAATCAAATACATTTCTAAAATTTCATAGACCATCTACAATATTACCAACAGTGATTAACCTTAAATCACTTTCCCATTCAACTCATTTTGGGCCATTTTTGTCAGGTTGGCATTTTCCCCCACGCGTGGTTTAATTTCCTTGCAAGTATTGCTAGATCTGTGCTCATTCTTGGGTTTCAAGTCTCTGCTTCCATTCTCGCTTCCTCTGCTACAAGTTATATCACCTTCTAAACGTGTTTAGGATTTTTTTTCCTTCCATATTTTCCATTTGTTTTATATTTAATTTCATGCAAAGAAAAAGAGCGAAGAAAAGAAGAGGAAGAAGAAAAGTCATGCCAGAAAAAATGAAAAAAAAAAGAGTTGCCAAAAAAGTTGATTTGAGAAAAAAAATAAAATGTGAAAAAAAGGCTGAAAAAAAATTAGCGAACATTCAATCTGACAAACAATGAAGTTTTGTTGAGTGATACTACTTAAGCCCTATCACGGTTTCCATTACTTGACACCCTAATCCATTGGTTTTTGTAATGAACTACCCAAGTCCTAATGCTAATGAAATAGATCCAATTCTAGATTCCGAAATAGACCCAATTCCAAATTCCCAACTACACCCATTTAGGGGTGAGCATCGGTCGGTTCGATTCGGTTTGGTCTCAAAATATGCAAAATCGATCGATCGAATAACACCGAAAATGAAAACTGAATCGAACCGAACAAGCCAATCGAACCGAACAAGGACCGATCAAATTCGGTTCGGTCGGTTAATTCGGTTTTTCGGTTTGGGTCTATTTTTTAAATATTAAAACAAACAACACTATAAAATTGGGCCTTTTTTTCTATTCATTTTTTTCAATATGAGCCCATTCTAATTATACCCATATGACATAAAGCCTAAATATTATAAAGGCATGGATAATCAAATAAACAACCATAAATAAACACCGATGATTAAATAATAGCCTCATAATCCAGTCACAATACTTACTGATGAGAGTGACTGATTGAAATGGGGTTTCAAGTGATGTTATTATTTTTTATTCTTTATTAAAATAAAAAATAAAAATAAAAATAAAATAATTTATAAATTAAATATAATTTATAAATTAATAAATTATATGTAATTCGGTCGATTCAGTCTATTCGATTTTAAATTTTACTAACCGAATCAAACCGATCAACTGAAATATTTAAAATAAAAAACCGAATTGAACAGAAAAAATCAAATAGACCGAATCAAATAGACAAAATTCGATTCGATTCGATTCGATTTTTGGTTTCGGTTCGGTTTTGCTCACCCCTACACCCATTGATAGTTATAAGTGATGGCGGCAAATAGAAAAATGAAAGTTGCTTGAGTCGTGTCAGATGACACTGTCTTTAAAAATTATTTTGGCACACTAGTAAGGTGGGTTGGCAGTTTTCCAAGATTAAACAAGCATGTCTTGCAAGCGAGTAAGGGCACAAAGTAGCAAACACCAGAAAAGTAACCTAGACGAACCAGAGGGCAGTAGAAGTCGGCGGAGGAAAAGGAGAGAAGAGCCTCAAAAACTCAAGAGGCAAGCACACTCATTCTGTTTGCATGCATGCCTATATATAGGCCAAGGTCTTGGACATAAACGTTGGGCATTCAACCACCGAAATAATGAACCATTAAGCCTCGATTACACACTCATAAACTAGCATAAAACCTTAGTCATGCACACATAATTTCCATTAAGCATTGAGCTGTTAGAAGGACAACACAGTAATGAAGGTTGATTAAAAAATCCGTTTAAGAATTCTGGTTAAAGGCTAAAAATGCTTAAGGTTTGAATTCCCACTATAAACAGCTAAAAAATGAGGCTTTAATAATTATTTATTTTTTGTAAAAATAATTTAGTAAGAAGAACCTAGTGTCTCTTGAACTCATGCGCAGGGGGAATCGGTTGCTCTCAACTATAATTGCTCTAAGTTAGCCTATTTTATGTGCACGAGCCCATTTCTCCTCCAAACCTATTTTACCAGCCCATTTCATTTCTTAGTATTTATACACTAGAAGCACTCTTCATTTAAGCAATGTGAGACTTTTTTTGACACACACACACAATTACTACAATAATAAGTGTCTTTATGTCAAGAGTAACCTTGTATTTAGAAGCCATAGAAGATTCCAGAGCAAGCATAGAAAATTAGAAGAGTGAATTTAAACATATGAAGGAAGATTGTATTGATACCCATTTAGATAAGGAGTGTGGGGATCCAAATGCGAGGTTGCTTGTATGAGTTAGATGGGTTTGAAAAGAGGGTGAAAGTATTAATTGAAGAGTATCATAAGGACTTGAAAAAGGCCCAAGTCTGCCTGTCAAAATTGATGTGTTCTAGGTCTAAGAAACAGAGTATCATTATATCCTCTCTTTGTTGCACATCATTTGATATTAGAACTTGATTTTCCATACACTAGAAGTATCACATAATTTAGTATTCAGAGCCTTAGTTACTTTTTTAAGTTGTGTTCTTTGATTGTGTTCTTGTTCTTTATTATTTAGCATAATTATCTTTCTTATTTGTTCATCCTTTCTTTTATATACTCAATCCGTAAGACATTTTTAGAAAAAAAAATTTTAAACAACAAGGGACTTAAAAAAATAAAGGATTATTTCATTCACATATTAATAAATCTCATTAAATACACTTAACAATCTTATGTTTTCAAAATAAAAATATAAACTTTTAAAAATACTCATCATTTAATATATTGGAAAGAGAAGTGATAGAAATTAATTATAGAGAGAAAATGATAATATTAAAATTGGTGCATTTAATGAAACTTTAATCTATTCAAAGTGTCTTATATTTTGGGATAGAAAAACTCTTTAAAAAATATCTTATAATTTAAGATGGAATGAGTATCATTCATTTGTTCTTCCATCTACTTATATCTTAGCAAAGATTCAATTTAATAGATGATAGGTTAAGTTGATTGATACTACTTAAACTATATTAGGGGTTCTGTTTCTTAAGATTTTAATCTTCTTGTGTTTGGGTTGGACTGCCCAAGTTGATTATTAATGAAGATATAAAATTTTAATATAACACAAAACTAAATTTAAGAAATAACTAAGAAAAAGAAGAGACCCATCATCTATAAAAAACATGACGAGCAAAAGGAAGGGGGGCTCATTTACTATTTTTCAAATCTTGCACAAGATTTTATTATAGATAGAGGAATAATGTATGCAATATTGATATTGATGATATTGATATTAATATTGATATTAATATTGATGAAATGTAAATGGATGAAAATTGATAAATCAGACGAACAGTAAAAGGAGCAGGTAAAACAGAAAAACAAAATAAAAGAAAAATGTAAATTACTGCTCACCCTCCGGACAATAGCGACCTAGCCCATTGTGTTGTTTTTTTTCAACTGACTTAGCCCAATTAGCCCAATGTCAATTTCGTAATTTCGAAAAAAATAATTGAAGTGTACATAAGTTATGAACCCCACTGCGGCCGCATTCATATTCTAGGGTTTCTCGCACACCAGGTATTGTGAAGCGAGGCAGCGACCGGTGCAGCCGATATGGTTTGAAGTAAGTTCTACTTTCTCTCTCGTTTATTCTTTAATCTCTGGTCTGGTGTGTGCGCGCTATGCGTGATCAAGAGCTTTTCCTGAACCAGGGTCCCTAGCCATACTGTTATTTGAGATTTTCCTCACGTTTTTTGGCTATCAATATGAAACTTTTATAGAAAAAAGAGATTCCTCTTCGGTTACGGTGTGGCCAAAGAACCCATTTAGATCCATGCTTCTCAGTTCCAATTTAGTAACGTGGATTGAAGAACTATGGGCTTTATTCGTGAATGCATAAACACCCTGCGTTTCCGAAATATGCCCCTAATTTTTTTGTTACTTGAGCATGAGTGGTTCTGTAATCGTATAAATTGTGGACGAGTTTGAATGAATGTGAACATAGCTTTGTTATCTTGTCGGATTTCGGGGATTCTGGACAATAATTTTATTGCCATTGTATACTGAGTAATTGCGCTGTCTGATATTATTAGCTTTTCCTGCCTTCAAAGTATTGCTTTCTGCAGACTCTCATCCCCAAAATCTCTTGTTTGATATGATTATTCTGCATTACGCCAATCTTAGTGGCCGTATGGAAGCTGAAATTGGATACCAAATGGCTTGACAGTGTGGAATCTTAATTCGACTTGGCTACAAAATATTTGTTCTGTATTGCTAGCACTTGAGACATTCTTAAACTAATTGGGAATATTTGCAAGCAAGTCTGACTTTTTTCCGATCATAACAAAAACAAGCAATCTCGTGTTTTCCCCCAAAATAATTGCCTCTTGACAATCATCTGGTAACTGGTTTTTGATATGGGCATATCAGGACTGAACTCTGCCGATTCAGTGGGGGCAAAATCTACCCCGGGAAAGGCATTAGATTTGTTCGTGCTGATTCTCAGGTGACTTGAATTGATTCATCTTCCTTTTCAGAGATGATATGATGATCTATTAGGTGCTAAATGGGTTCATTTGATGCTTTTATTAGGTCTTCCTGTTTGCCAATTCAAAATGCAAGAGGTACTTCCACAACAGATTGAAGCCATCAAAGCTCACCTGGACTGCCATGTACAGGAAGCAACACAAGAAGGTATTGCCTATCAAAATTACCATAGTTTAGTCAACCTTAACTGATATTATCCATTATAAGGCCTCAATTCAATTAAACTTGTCTGTAAATTAACCTGGGTCTCAACATAGGTGACTCCTGGCTTGTGGTGAATGTTTGCTGCACTGATAAGTTAGAATTAGCACGTAGTAACAGGATGCTAGTGAAACTGTTTGAAATGCCTGTGATCTCTCATCAATCAAGTGCATGATTCTTGTTTGTGTATGTGGTGTCTGCAGGACATTGCCCAAGAAGCTGTGAAGAAGAGGCGCCGCGCCACCAGAAAGCCTTACTCTAGATCCATTGTCGGTGCGACTCTGGAAGTTATCCAGAAGAAAAGAACAGAAAAACCAGAGGTCAGAGATGCTGCTAGAGAAGCTGCCCTTCGGTGTGTATTTCTAGTTCTCTTTAGTGAGACTCTTCTATTGTCATCTCATGTTTTGGATGGCATAAAGTATGTTTTGCCACATATCATCTGATGGTCTGAATGTGTGATGCAGTGAGATTAAGGAGAGGATCAAGAAAACTAAGGATGAAAAGAAGGCTAAGAAGGCAGAGGTGATGGCCAAGGCACAGAAAGCACAAGGAAAAGGAAACGTTCCCAAGGGTGCTGCCCCCAAAGGCCCTAAACTTGGTGGAGGTGGCGGGAAGCGTGAGTTACATTTTTTTTGGCTGAGAATTAGATAGAGGAGTTTGGGACTTTTATTCTGATAAATTTTATTTCACTTGATTAATCTGTTATATGGAGCTTTTGTTTTGCGGTTCAGAGCACCAAGGTGAATTTGAATGTATTTTCTCAGCTGAGTTATTTCACTTATTTGTTGTGTCTCTTATTTTAGGACTGCGCGTTGGATGTGTTTGTTTGCATTGGGGGTGCCGTTCTCATGGATTCCCAAATTGGATTGATGTTTAGGATGTTTAGTTTACTGTTCGGACAGTGACCAAATCGTGATTTATAGGTCACAATTAAAACAATAAAATTTATAGAAATTGCATGCAAAATAAAAATATTTTTTAGATAATTATCCAACCACTTTCTTTTCCTTATTCTATACGCCAAATTCATAATTAATTGCACAAATTTTATAATATAATTATTTGTTGCCCAGATTGCAAGCTGCGATTCCTCATCCTTGTCTTCTATAATCACTATGCCCGGCAATGGACTTGACGAACTTAAGTCCTGGAAGGTGTTTGTGGGGTTCTAGCGTAACAATTCTTAGTCTTAAGTCTTATGTGGCGCACCACGATGACACTTGCTATCGGCGGTTGTGAATATATTACTTAAAATTAAATGTGTGGATTTTAAATATAAAATATAAAATATAAAAATATAAAATTTGAATTTAAATCTTAAAATTTTAAAAACTTTCAATTATATATTTACTAAAAAACACTTTAATCTAAAATATTAT